GTATTACTAGTGAAATTCTTCACTAGTATCATGGTTGTGTTCCAAAAATCAGATCATTATGGGAAACTTGGTAATGACTTTTTTTTTTTTTTTTAATGGAGGATGTTTACATCATTACGTAATTACTAAATTATATCATTATGTCACTGTCAGACTAAGGAGAATCATGGCCTGGTCAAGTTGATAAATAACCATCACAGCCAGCATTACTCCCAGTTCCCACGCTTGTGTTCATTACTGCCAGTTGCGTGTTTGAAATGCTCAAAGTAGTTGGATAGTTGTTGTTGTTAGGTACCATCGAGTCAGTACCGACTCATAGCGGCCTTATGCACAGCAGAACGAAACACTGCCTGATCCTGGGCCATGTTGTCAGGAGGGACCAGTCGCTGGAGAAGGACATCTTGTTTGGTAAGATGGAGGGTCAGAGAAAAAAAGGAAGACCCCAACGAGATGGATTGGCCAAGTGGCAGCATCAATGGACTCAAGCGTGGCAACGATAGTTGGATAGTAGATATTTGTAAATGTGAATATTGGATAACAAGATTGTTGATAAGTGAGGAATACATGTATTGATTTCTAGCTCAAGAAGTTGTGACTTCTCAGGTAACTACTGCCTTTGAGTTGATTCCAACTCATAGAGACTCTGTGTAGTGCTTTCAGGACTATAAAACTTTACAGGTACAGAAAGCCTTATAGTTTTCCTAGTTAGCATTCCAGTACTCATCCTACTGTGCCACCAGGGATCCTTCTTCATATTGTGGCAGCTAAAATGATTCAGGTCTAATGAAATGACTGAAGGTGGGAATATGAAATTCAGAATGACATTAATGTTCTATCTTGCCATCCAAACATTGTATTGTTGCTGTTAGGTGTCGTTGAGTTAGTTGGTACTAATTCATAGAGACCACTTAAGCATAACAGAACGAAACAGTGCCCTGTGTTACAATAATCTCACAGTTGTTGTTACACATAAGACCAGTGCTCCTGCCACTGTGCCAGTCCATATGACATCAGCCATGATATGCCTTGTTCTCCATTCTCATCTGAATCTGAGGGACAGCAGCTGATGTCAGATGGGCCTTAACTGGAAGCACACAATAGCAGAAAGATGTTTGCCTGTGCTTGGTTGACTACGCAAAGGCTTTTGATTGTGTGGATGATGACAAGCTATGGACAGTATGCTGAGAATGAGTATTCCAGATCTGTTATTGTGCTCATTTGAAACCTATGCATAGGTCTAGAGGCAGTCATTCAAACAGAACAGGGGGATACTGAATTTAAAATTTAAATGATTTAAAATTAGGATAGGTATACACCATGAGTCCATTCTAAACACTATTATGAAATATAAATGAATTATTTAGACAAACAAATATTTAATCACTTTAGTACTTGTACATTTAGGTTCTTAGCTGTTTGCATGCATTCTTTCATTTAGGAAAGAAATAATATGAATTTCATGTTTGATATTATGTTGTGAAGTCTCAGTACATACTTGAGAGTAATTAATGTAAAGGAAGATCAACCATTAAATAAAATACACATATTTGTTGAGAATATTTCAAGTCATTCATTTAATAGTTTCTTCCTATTGTGCCAAAGGGAAATCATGTACCAAAGGAATCTTTGGCTTGCATTAATATCATTTAAACCAATCAGCATGCTATAATAATTTAAGCCCCACTGTGTGGCAAGTAAGGAGTCCTGATGATGACGTGGCAACCTCATGGTTAAATGCGCAGCTGCTAACCAAAAATTTGGTGGTTTGAACCCATTAGCCACTCTGTGTGAGAAAGATGGGGTAATCTTCTTCTGTAAAAATGATAGCTTTGGCAATGCTGTGGGGCAGTTGTTTGGAATTTATGGTAGCCATTGTGGGATACGATGAAGGAATGTGCTATAGATATAATAATAATTTTTTGTTCTGAAGGATCACCAGTGTGGGATGAATGCTTTTCCATAGATCATGGAATAGAACTCTAACACAGGTTTTTTCTTGGCTGTAATCTCAATGGAAAGAGTCCTGGTGTGGCACTGTAGGATAAATACTGGACCATAAGGTTAGTTAGACCTGCAAGGTTGGTGATTCAAGCTCACCAGTCAACTTCACGGAAACCCTGTACAGGGTCACTATGAATCGAAACTGCCTCATCGGCACTTAACAACAACAACAACAATCTCAGTAGAAACAGATTACCAGTCCTCTTCTCACACAATCTTTGAAACACCCGTCTTTAGATTAGCATCAAGCACAAACGGTTGGCACAGAATATAACTAGCAAAATATCAACAAATGAGAAATACTAAATGGTGGTTCAGTAAAAAACACACGGAAATTTCAGAGACATTAAAAACCTTTAGTTATTATGCATCAATAATAGTGTGTTTCTAAAGCATTTAGAAACAGTGCTATTTTCATTTTACAACATATTAATAGATTGTTCCACTAAATTAGGAACAAGTCACTTAAACTTCTTAGGTTATTGCCATCTTAGAGAATAAATTATATCATTAACTACATGGTTTTACCAATGCTAGATATCAGTGCCAGAGTGACTTCTCTTCATGAAATTTAATTGTCATTCATAAAAATGTTGTTCAGGTACTGTTACTAATATATTCATTCTCTTGTTTACCTAATGTGCAGAATAAGAGCATTTTAATATCACAATTAATGCTTAAGTTTATTGATATGCTTTTTCAGATATAGCCTCAATGCTCTCATTATAAAATTGTTAAATTTGAACCAATACAATTGAAATGTGTTCTTTTATTTACCTTTTATTTTATTATTCCTGAAAATTTATCTACAGTGTGTTAAGGAGCCCTGGTTGTTGTTGTTGTTATGTGCCGTGGAGTCGGTTCCGACTCATAGTGACCCTGTACAGGGTTTTTAAGGCTGTAAATCTTTACAGGAGCAGAAAGCGTCGTCTTTCTCCCACGGAACAGCTGGTAGTTTCGAACTGCTGACCTTACGGTTCGCAGCCCGATTCGTAACCACTACTGTGTATTATGAGCTAGGCTGCTAACCGCAAGGTCAGCATTTCAAATCTACCAGTTGCTCCACATGGGAAAGATGAGTCTTTCTGCTCCTGTAAAAGATTTACGTTCTCAGAAGTACACTATATTGGGTCGCTGTGAGTCAGAGCTGACTCAGTGGCACACAACCACCACAGTATGCTAGATGTTGTTAAGTGCCATTGAGTTGATTCCAACCCATAGTGACCCTGTATAGGTTTTCCAAGGAGTGGCTGGTGAGTTTGAACCACCAACCTTGTGGTTCAAACTGACTTTGCAGCCTAGCGCATTAACCCACAGCACCACACCAGGATTCCAGTATGCTAGATACCACCTCCTAAAAGAGCAGGTTGATTGTATATACATCCACATTATCTGCTCCAGAATAAAATTGTAGATGTATTTGTGATGGAAAGATTCAGGAGATAGAATTACAAAATATTAAATTGTGTGTATTCTGGCAACATTCTCATGATTCCAATTAAGGATGATTTAAAATACTCATGATCTCAATGAGTATTTCAGGTTGGATATATGTATTTGTCAATTCAAAGGCATTCTTAATGTAAAAGAATTTCATTTAACTTTGCAATAACTAATATCCTTTAGAAAATGTCTTCTCTTTTGCAAAGTTCAAACAATTCTACCTTGTTCTATTATTTTGCCCATGGTCAAAAACTTATGATAAATCACTTTATTTGAAGATATGTTTTGACATGGCATTAACCACAGTTTATTAAAGATAATGAGGGGGGCATGGAAATGAGAAATTGGAGATAAAGCTTAAGATCTAGTTTTAGATGAAAATTTTAATGTAAAGTTGTATCCTGTAATTTTGAAATGCTAGCATTGGTGTATTTCATGTACATTCTTTAAACTTGTTTCCTTTCTCTTTTTTAATTAATAGGAAAGGGGTAAAGCCTTTTCAGTTTTGCATTCAAAAGCTTCAGCACCAGTTTATGACTTTCAGAGGTGGGGAAAGAATTTTGTAGGTATCCAATTGGATTGTCTAATACTATCCAAGTTACATCACATCCTTTTTGCCCTGAAAGTTGTCTACCTTTTAAATATGAACTAATAAGAGACTGGGAAGGAGCTCTATGACCCACCCCACCCCTACCACCCCCCAAAAAATCCAGTGATTGCTTTAAAGTGTTTAAAGTCTTAAATACGTTTTTAGCACTTTTTTGTTAAATATGCCATTGCAGCGTTATTCTCCCATATCTTTCTTTGCCTCTCCTCCTCTTCAGGCGCTTTAATTGCAAGTTGTTGGATAAAGCAAAGAACAGTTGTGTGCGGGCAGTTACTGCATTGAAATCGAGCAACATGGAAATCAGAATTTCTTAGTTCTGAGTAATTATGCATAGACACTTTATCGGTACTTAAGATAAACAAGTTAAAATTTTTGCTTTTTTTGGTCACAAACAGAATTATATTTAAATTTGCCTGCATTTTGAAATCTAGAACAAGTCTCTAGTTACTTAGTGCTGAAGTTTTCAACCTTGGAAGAACAAAGGCAATTCTGATTATAGTCATCAAATAGGTTTTATCAGTAAAATTAAGACTTCTGCTAACTCTGGAGAGATATAATTTACTATTATACTTTTATGTAAAGGAAATTGGAATAAGTATTGTTCCAGTGAGGATTTCCTTTTTCCAAATCCTTGTAACAATGGTTAACATTTCAATAAGAACTGAACTGATCGTATCTGGTAATTTATATAAATTATAGTATTACCTCTCAGGTATGTTTCAGAGTCATCCTGTACCATATTTTTTTTTTTTTTTTTCAGATAATATGATTCTATTACGGGGTATGGTGAATAAGAACTAACTCTTAAAGAAATTATATGATATCTTGTTAAAATAAACTGAAATTACGTATGCTCTTCAAAATTAACAAAGGTTCCAAGAACTGCTATTGTTTGGATGCCCTCCGGAAGTTAAATTCTTCAAAACTAACCATTCTAATTTACTTTCAGGTTTTTTCCAATGGCCACTTGGGAAATGAAGACTATGATGTTCCTCCCCGGCTATCTCCTCCTCCTCCAGCTACCACCACTCTCCTCCCTAGCATAAAGTGAGTTTTATTGAATTTAAAGATTTGCTTATGAATAAAGATATGATAAATAGTGGGTTTTATTTATAGAACAACTCTGTTCTGCCCTGTAGGGTCCCTGTGAATTGAAATGAACTCAATCACAATGTGTTTGGTTGGGTTTTGGTTAGTATAATATAACCCTCAAAGCCTTTTCAATGATTTAAAAACTTCAGTACAGCAAGTGATGGTGATTCTGATGAGTTTGTTGTAAGTAGGAATTGGTTCAGTTGTTTCAAAGTGAGGACAGATTTACATACCATGAAAGGGCAAATGGGAGTTGTCCTAAGTCAGACATTCATTACATGGGATCTGTCTACGTTTTGAAGATTGACCCAAAAGAATCTATTAATGAATTGGCCATCTGTGAGGAATGGTAGTCAGCAATGACCTTATATAAATTACTGTAATGTGAATAGTTTGTGCCTTTTACTAGAAGGAGGGAGATTAGAGGAGAGAATTTAGAAATGAGATGGTGATAGTAAAATGAAGATTTATGGGTCTGTACTACACATGCAAGTAAAGTTGTTAAAAGGACAGTTGGTATATTAACCTTTAAACTTAATATTATGATTTAGAACATTGCTTTATAGTAAAATTTTTAATAAATGATACCAATTATTTATGGAGTCCTGATGTAGCACTTTAGGATAAGCACTGAACTGAAAGGTCAGTTTGAATTGCAAGACTGGTGGTTCAAACCCACCAGCTGCTTCTCAGAAACTCTATATAGGGTCGCTATGAGTTGGAACTGACTTGACAGCACGTAACAACAACAGAAAAATTATTTGTTATTAATATCTCCTTTTTATCCCAAACTTCTAGGAAAAATAAACTAGAAGTATTGATATATAAATATAGAATCAACTGTACCGACCTTCCAGAGAGAGTTGTCTAAGAGGTCCACACCTTCAAATAGCATCACAAATCTCCAACATTAGAGGTATACAGGAAGGAAGGTGATTGCTTCTAAATACTTGTGGATAAAGTAGGATAAGTGTATCCCATTAAGTGGATAGGATAAGTATAACACTAAGAGATTGACTAAAAGAATAAGCAGATATAGAGGGGAAGGTTTTTGCTTTATACTTGTTTTTTAACTAGAGAGTGTGTGATAAAGAAAAACGAGGGAAAAGTACTAAGTAGTAAGCCAAAAAAGCTATTGAAACAAAGGTCACATAATAATTTAAGGAAATTTAAAGAGAATGAGCTAGGAAATGCAAATTCTTCCCTCTTTTAACTGGTGCATGAGATACTGTATTACTTATCCTTGATGTGTAGAAAAACTATTTCATTATTGTTTACCTGAGGATTTGTGTAGACAGTATGTACGTAATTTTTCCATTAATCCTGTTTATGTTCAGTGATAAAGTGCCATTGACTTAAATATGAGAAAATATGGTTGGAATTTTTTTTTTACTGCAACACAGAGCTATTATTAAATAAGCACTTATTCTGTTTTCTTAACCTTAATGATTAACAATCATCCATTCATTTTTGAGTCAGCTTTCATTCTAATAATTTAAATTGTTTTAAGATTCTTGCCTAAAGGGTACACTTTGAAAAAAAATTAAAACTCTGGTGGATGGATTGGTGTTGAGATGAGAGATGACAGCCCCATCCAAATAACAACTGACATGATACATAGAGGATGGTATGGACTGGGTTCTTCAATTTCTTTTCTATGATGTCTGCAGCATTATTCTCATTGATACATCAAGCAGAAGCATTTATACATTTGGCTTTGACTTACAGATATGTAACTTATTATTTGAAGCTGAGTATTTATTAATTTATCAGATTACAAAGAAAATAATAAATTTGCGTTAAAGTCTCTTGCAAACCACTTAGATTATTCTTAACAAAGATTTTATGCTGGTGTGTTGTGAATCTCTAGAAATTACTTGTTGACACATTGATGGAATGGACTACAAGTGCATCTTTTTAAACTAGTCTAGACAGGAACAGAGTACGGTGGTACCATACAATAAACACTGGATTGCAAACCACAAGGTCCGCATTTCAAGCCTGCCAGCTGCTCCGCAGGTGAAAGATGACACTTTCTGCTTCTGTGAAGATTTAACGTCTTGGAAACGCTTTACAGAGTGAGTCCCTTTGAGTCGGAACCAACTCAGTAGCACTTAACAATAACTAAAACAGAAACGAGTCCACAACAATCTCCCCCACAGCCTCATCAGCATTTGTTTAGTTTTGTTTTTAATCAGTACCATTTTTGCAAAAGTGAAATAGCATCTCATAGTTTTGATTTGCTTTTCTTTTATGGATGATGACAGTGAACATCTCGTCATATGTTTGCTAACTGCCTGAGTATCCTCTTTGGTGAAGTGTCTGTCTGTTCATGTCCTTTGTCCTTTATTTCATTAGATTTTGTCTTACAGTCTTTGGATTGTTTATCTTTTTGTTTCTGAAATGTTGAAGTTTTCTATGTATTTTAGAATTTAGATCATTTCCCCCAGACCTTTTCCCAATCTATAGATTCTCTTTTAACTTTTTTAAAAAGATGAGTATTAATAATTGATTTTTGTTGTTGTTAAGTGCCATTGAGTTGGCTCTGACCCATAGTAACCCTATATAGGGTTTCTGAGGAGAACCACCAACTCTGCGATTTGGACTGACCTTGCAGTCCGGCACATTATTCTGCAGTGCTGCAGGTCCCATTTACCTACTTTATCTTCTGTTTGTAAGTGTTTTCCTGTTATGCTCATATTCTCACCATAAACTAGGACCCCTAGCCTTTGTTTCTGTTAACTTCCAGAAACTAGGTCTGATTTCCCTTCACTAGGCCACACCCACATGGGAGTCCTCTATAATTAGACTCGTGTATCTTCCCTTACCAGATTGTGTGTAAGTGTAGGAGTAAGTTATTTCCCTAATATTGGGTGACAATTATTGGATGGTTGGAATCTCTCCACAGCTTTTGTGGAGCCATGAGATCCTTCTGGGTTGGTGCTAACACATAGTGCTTTCTCTGGAGATCAGGACAGGACAGCTCCATGTCCATTGTGAGGTGTAGGTTCACTGTGTGCTTGTTAATTGTTGTCTCAGTAGGTGGTGGGGTATCAGGCAGTTTCAATGCAAATACAGAAGTCCTGCAGAAATTGTTAGGGTATGGACTGTGTGATGTTGCAACCTGGTGCATGTTAGATAAGGGCACTAGGCTTTACTACTTGTCATTTGACAGATGTGCAAATAGTACCTATCAGGATATTTTTGTTAAGTGCCATCAAATCAGTTCTACCTTATAACAACCCTGTATAGGGTTTCAGAAGAGCCAGTGGGTTTGAACTTCTAAACGTGTGAGTCGTAGTCCAGTGCTGATCTTACAGTGCCACACCAGGAGTCCATGTCTCATTTGCTGTTTTCATTCTCGTTCCTTTCAATGTTCAGTCTAATTCTTCATCCTTCACTTTGCTGCTTTGAGTCTCCCTGATGTTATCTGTGTCCCTTTCATTTGATTTCTCAGTTCTTCGCTATAGGGAAATGACATGGTATATGTACTGAGCTACTTTCTTGGGCCATTTCTGTTATATTACATTTAAAGTGCTTTTCTAGATAATGAAAGGATCCTAAAAATGATTTGGTTTCCTTTCTTTAATGGCTTGGAAATGTATTTCTCTAATAACCACTTATTATTTTTCACTAAAAGCTTGTATGTCTTCACCTGCACACACACTGTGCTAAACCTTTGTTAACCGAGGGTTATCCTTTTTAAGTATTTTGCAATATAAGATAGAAGGAGAAGAGAAACGTAAATGAATCTATAGAAACCACAAAACCAATGAATGAATATATACTAAATATTTCTGGTACAGGATTTTCATATATAACAATAAGGATTTTCATATATACTTTACTCTTTTTTTCTGGGAAAGGTGACAGATGAATTGAGGGTCAAAATTATGCAAATTAAGGAAAGAAAACTATTAGTAAAATTACTGTCTGAGGTTGTTAGTTATATAGGTTAAAGTCATTGAGACACACACAAGGTCACACCTCTAGTTTTTTGCTCCTCATACAAGGAAGGATTCCTGGTGTGGCATTGTGAGTTAATATGTTAGAATGCAAAGTCAGTTTGAATGGCAAGGTTGGTGGTTCAAGCTCACCAGCTGCTTCTTAGAAACGCTATAAAGGGTCACTATGCGTTGGAACCTACTCAGCAGCACGTAACAACAAAAACATACAAGGAACATGAACTAATTTGAATACAAATTGAAATATTTCAACAAACTGATGCAGCACTGGAGGTGCTCACTCATCTGTGCAAAAAAAATTGGAAGCCAACTACCTGGCCGACCGATTAAAAGAGATCCATATTTGTGCCCATTTCAAAAAGAGGAGACCCAGTGGAATGCGGAAATCATTTAACAATATCACTAATGTCACATGCAAGTAAATTTTTGCTCAAGATAATTTAAATACGGCTGCAGCAGTACACTGACAGGGAACTGCCAGAAACAAAAACTGGATCCAAAAGAGGATATGGACTAGGGATATCATTGTTGACATCAGATGCATCTTGTCTGAGAGCAGAGAATATAAGAAAGATGTTTATTTGTGTTTTATTGACTATGTAAAGGCTTTTGGTTGTGTGGATCATGAGAAGTTATGAATGGATGGCATTGCAGTAATGGGTATTTCAGAACACTTGATTATGCTCATGGGAACCTGCACACAGATGAAGCAGCGGACATTCAAACAGAACAAGAATATTGAATGCTTTAGAAGCAGGAAAGGTGTGCATCAGGGCTGTATTCTTTCACCATACTTATTCAATCCGTATGATGAGCAAATAATCCAATAATCTGGATAAATTATAGAGGAGTGTGGCATCAGGATTGGTGGAAGACTCAGTAACAACGTGTGATATGCAGAGAATACCACCTTGCTTGCTGAAAGAGAGTGAACTTAAAATACTGATGAAGCTCAAAGACCACAGCCTTCAATATGTATTGCTTCTGAATGTAAAGAAAACAAAAATCCTCACAACAGGACCAATAAATGACTTCATAGTAAATGAAAAGATTAAAGTTGTCAAAGATTACATTTTGCTTAAATCCATAATCAGCACTCATGACAGCAGCAGTCAAGAAATCAAAAAACGTATTTCATTAGGCAAATCTGCTGCACAAGACCTCTCTAAAGTGTGCAAAAATAAAAGCCGTTTGAACTGCAAGGTCTGTGGTTCAAGCTCACCAGCTGCTCCTCAGAAACCTTATACATGGTCGCTATGGGTCGGAACTGACTCGATGGCACTTAACAACAACAACAACAAATAAATGGAGGGTCCAAGAAAAAGAGGAAAACCCCCAATGGGATGAATTGGCACAGTGAAAGCAGCGATGGGCTCGGGCCTAACAACGATTGCAATGTTGGCCCAGGACTGGGCAGTGTTTTGTTCTGTTGTGCATAGGGTCACTATGAGTTGGTACTGACTCAATGGCACCTAACAACAACAATTAAGAACAACCTTAGATTATATCCCCTTTGTTGATCTGAAAATTCACCTGTTTTTTTGGTTTGTTTTAAATGTGCATGAATAGAAAATGAATTTGTTTTACACTGTAAACCCAAAATACTAGTAGACAGTAAGTTTAACATGGTGTGCAAGTTGTGAGGAGGGTTACTGTGCTTCTTTGAAAATGTGTCTTTGTGCATTACAAGTGTATTAACTCAGCAGTGACAACCACAGCACGCAATCAATCATATCAATGGAATGAAGTGATGTATATAAAGAATAGTATGGTTTACCTGGTAACCTTAACTTGGAATGAGTCATATCCTATTGAGTCTTTTAAGTTTCTCGGGTATCCTTGAAAATTCTCCATAAATATTCTGTGGATGTGTTAGATATTTTTTATCACTGATACAAATAAAGATATTCATGAGTAAATAGACTAAATCTTAAACTAACTTATTAGTTGCAAGTAACATGGAGTTTTCCTTTTGAATGAATTTATTGCAGGGATGGATATCTAATATGTAATTATAAATAATACAATTATGTAAATTTAGATTTATCTTTTGGTATTTTAGATGCGATTTCTTTATAATTTATACTTTCCTTTTTGTATTTTTGTGGAAGAAGTGCTTTCTGTTTTCTTTTAGAACTTGATGAGAGGTCAATTTTGAATAAAAATACTACATATAATTAATAAAATACATTGGAATGATATTCTTATAGATTGGTTTTTAAAATAAGTATAGCAATATAAAGAGCATACATCTAAAATAATAACAGTTTTGACTTGTTAGAATATTAATATTATAATTTTTCTCATGATTATAAATATGACTTGAGGTCTTTTTTTTTTTTTCATTTTTAGATATAATTCAATGAAATATGTTCATGTTAATATAAACTTTGATAGCTTAGCAGTAGTCCTTATTATTCCATAAAATATTAGATGAGATTTACTTTTGATTTCCTTCATAAGTATGCCATCTTACTTATTTCTAACAGAGTGAGAGACTAGGGGGAAAGTATCCAGCTGAAATTCTCTATTGTTGAAGGTAAAATACGGAATCAGCCACAACAGGTGTGATTTCAAAAAACTGCCCTTTCTTGACTCATAATAAAAACTTAATCTTAAATTTCTGGAAAGAACTTAAAATTGTTAATGTTGTTGTTCTTAACTTCCTTTGAGTCAGTTCTGACTCATGCAGACCATGTATAGGAGCGGTGGGGGACATCTAGCCCATGGGCTGTATTGTTGTTGTTGTTAAGTACTGTTGAATTGGTTCCAACCCATAGCAACCCTGTATTGGGTTTCCGATGAGTGACTGGTCAGTTTGAACCACTGACCTTGAGGTTCAAACCAACCTTGTGGTCAACCACTTATCCTATAAGGCTTGGCCCTGCCAAGGCAACCTCAGTTCCATCCATCAAATTAGGGGTGAGTTAATTAAATGTTTGACCAAATATAGTAGGCTTATTTTTAAGTTGATAATTTTGTATGGCCCATGACTAATGTTATAAAGTTTGGCACAGAAAAGGTTCCTCAATCCTGCTATGTAGGGTTTCTGAGAAGCAGCTGGGGGGTTTGAACCTCTAACCTTGTGGTTCAAATTGACCTTGTGGTCCAGTGTTTATCCTATAGTACCTATTAGAATATTCCTTACATTGATGAGGCCACTGAATATTTGGTCAAAAAGCTTGCTTTATCTATTTTCATTTTAAAAGTTTATGTTTGGATTGCAAAAGGAAAAACCAGATTCAATATGAATGAAAATACCTTAAGGCACAGAAAGAATGTATTTATTTCTTTTTATTTTCAGTAGGCCACATCTGCTCCTAGATTTAGTTAAATTAGTGTTCAGTTGGTAGCCCATCTGAGTCTTTGCCACCATTTAGACTACAAATTTTCAGAATCATCAGTGAAGCCTTCAGGTTCTAACTACGTGTTTAGGCAATTGTGTCGCTGTACTTTCATCATCATAAACTTACATTTGAATTCCAAGGTCACTCAAACCAACAAGAGTTCAAAGATCTGTATTGGAAAAAAAATTATTCCAAGAAGGATAATACACTTTTGAAAGTTTTAAGAAAGAGAGTTGTTTTTGTTTTTTTTAAAATCTCTGAACTTCCTGTAGTCTAAGATACATGGTTGAAATTGAAAAATCTTTAGAGTTTTCAACCTATCTTTTTGTAGTTCGATCAAAGAAAAATTGTTTTCATTGTAACTAGTAAGAAGAAATCAAAATGAAAAAGTTCTTTCAGTCTTGATGGCTTCATATACCAAAGGTCTATTGCTCCCTCTACAGAGGGTGCTTCAAAATTGCAGCTCTAAACTAAATTTGGTTTTTTTGTTTTCTTGTGTTTTTAGTTTGTTTGTTTTCAATGAAACTGGTTTCTCAGAGGTTCATGATGTTTAACAGAAAGATTTGGATCTACATGTAGCTTAGTGTCTCTAATACTGTTCATTTTCCTAGACATGGTGAGTTAGAGTTTGTCATATCATTTTTAGCATTTTTGTTAGCATTAGCAAGGGTTAGAAGTAACAACTATGAAAACCAACGTGGTTTTGTTTTATGTTGTGTTGTTTTTTAGGCTTCATGTATGAGTGAAGTGTTTGAAAACTTCTTTTGATAATAGGTGATTATTTTACTCATTTTCATGCTCTCTCTATGTTTTTGCCAGGGATAACAGTATTGTATTGTATCTTGTAAAGATACCTAGCAGTAACCATAAGTTGGTGGTTCAAACTCACCAGCTGCTCCTTAGAAACCCTACACCAGGTCGCTATTAGTTGGAACTCTCTCTACCACATTTAACAACAGTTGTTGTTTCAGGGAGGGGAAAACACATAACAATAGCAATTATGACTTCACAGGGGGAAAAATTAAGAACGATTCAATTAAATTGGGTATTTTTCAACCATAGCTAATAGCCACAGGAGACTTAACTTTTGACCCTTCTACGAAGACTTCATTTTCATAACAAATTACTGCACACATTTGTAAAATCATCTTAATTTGCCCATTTAAATTAAACTGGAATAAAATGTAAATATTTTAATAGCTTTGCTTTGATTAAGTCTATGCATTTCCCTTTGTAACTCCAAGACCTTTTTGTTTTGTTTGGCAGGTTACAGTTTTCCTTCTTATGCCATTTGAGATTATAAGTATGAAAATTATTGTATTCCATGGACAGTGTCTTAGCAAAAGATTCTTTTCATGTATGTTTAGTATGAGAACAGGTCCTCTGGTATTGTCCCATAATTGAAAATTGAACATGAGTGACAAAGTAGCTTCTTTTACTTGAATGCATCACAGTAGACATACCTGTTGTTATTCTGAAACTAGACTGGAATTTTTTTTCCCCCTGTTAGGTGTACTGGTCCTTTAGCAAATTCCATTTCAGAGAAAACGAGAGACCTAGTAGAGGAAGATGATGATGAATACAAGGTTCCTTCATCCCATCCTGTTCCACTGAATTCACAACCATCTCATTGTCATAATGTAAAACCTCCTGTTAGGTAAGAATTTGGGCAGCTTTTTATCACCTCACATATTTCCATAAGTATTATATGTAAACAGTTTAATGTAGTAAAAAAAAAATCCTTGTATTCCTTTTGGAAGCCTTATTTTCCTATATATTGTTTGCTGTGTGTTTAATTTTCTGCCTTAATTTGAGAAAAAACTGAAGGATATAGACCTTCCTTGAATCAGAAAGTCATTTGAGTAGATTAGTTACATATTAAGTATAGTAGAACATTCTTTTACCCCGAAACACTAATTATGCTGTAATAAAATTCTGTTATATGCTACAAATATGGTTATTAATGCATGCATTTTCAATGAGTTATTTTAATGTTTTTTATCTATCCTAAGCTCATATCTCATGAACAAAAATTAGTGCTTAGAAACTAAGGTATTATGCCAAACTTTCTTGGAATTTTTTTCATGATGCCTAGCATAATTTATATTCACATTCTCTGGTGTTATGTTACCTAGTTCTGTTCAGATCTTAGAAAAGTGGAAAACAACAACAAAAAGTTGTTCCCCTTAACAGCTTTACTTTCTTTATGTTTTTAAAATCAGGTGCTGTATAACTTTCCCTTTAATCAAATAAGAATGTAAGGGAAAGTTTGGGGTTTTTCCCCCTTTCCTGTGAGTTGTTTGTTTATACTCAGCATAACAGGGATACCCCTTGTACTTTGAAATAAAAGCCACATTTATGATTCTTAGAAATTGCTAACATCAAGGTCAGCAGTTTTAAACTACCAGCTGTTCCACAGGAGAAAGATGAGACTTTCTGCTCCCATAAAGATGTACACCCTCAGAAACCCCCTATACAGGGTCACTGTGAATCGGAACCGGTTCCATGGCACATAACCAACTAACCAATTGAAACGTTGTTGTTGTTGTTAAGTGCCATTGAGTCAATTCTGACCCATAGAGACCCTGTATAGGGTTTCCAAAGAGCAGCTGGTGAGCTTGAACCACTGACCTTGCAGTTCAAATGGCTTTGCAATCTGACACATTAGCCCAGAGCGCCACACCAGGACTCCAATTGACTCCAACTGAAACATTAGCTGTCCTTAAATAAAAGGATGGTGTATAAAATTGATGGTTTATAAACAGTATATTGTAATCTAATGTTTCTTTTTTGTCATATGTGAGATACTCAGTAAGTCATATCCCTGATTCAAAAATTAACTTTAGGAGCTTCATTTTTTTGTTTTGTTTTGTTTTCTTTGACATACCTGGGGCTGCGCTTGGCATATACAATGAACCTCAGCTACTGCCAATGGCCTAGCCTTTCTCCTTTGCATTATATCTTGACTGAGGGATAGGAGAGCCATTGAACACTTCAGTTATATACATCCAATTTTTTTTTAATATGAACATTTGTTTTCATTTCTCTTGGGTAAATATATAGGAGTGGGATTTCTAGGTTTTTTAGTTTTCTAAAATGGCTATATCATTTTACATGAGAATGTATGGAATGCCAGTTTCTGCTTATTTTTATCAGACTTTGGTATTGATGGTTGGTTTTCCTCCCCATTCTAATACGCATATAGTAATGTCTTACTGGGATTTACATTTGTATTCTCCTAGTGACCACTGACATTGAGTATCTTTTCCTGTGTTTACTTGCCATCCATATAATCTTCTTTGGTAAAGTGTCTGTTTAAATCTTTTCCTCATTAACCTGATTTTTCTATATAAAATATACTTCAAGGTAACCAAAGGAGTGATGTTGTTGTTGTTGTTGTTAGGTGCCATCAAGTCGGTACCAACCCATAGTGACCTTATGCACAGCAGAACGAAACACTGCCCGGTCCTGGGCCAACCTCACTCTGTTGCCACGCTTGAGTCCATCGATGCTGCCACTTGGCCAGTCCATCTCATTGGGGGTGATAAGGGTACATCTTTCTAAACATATATATTCAAGTAAACAAATTAAGAATGCTAAAATTACAAGATTACCATTTTGCAAATACCTAAAGGAGTCCTTAGGAGTCCTGGTGTGGTACGGTGGGTTAATGCGCTGGACTGCAAAATCAGTTTGATCCACAAAGTCAAAGTTGGTTCAAGCACATCAGGTGCTCCTTGGAAACCCTATACAGGGTTGCTATAGCATGGAAACGACTCAATGGCACTCAACACCAACAATCAGATACGTGGATCCCAAATGTTTTCTCCTATTCTGTAGGTAGTTTCTTCACTTTATTGATGCATCTTCTGATGCAGAAACATTTTTTTAAAAGAATTTTTTTGAAACATTTTAAATATTGCTGAAGTCAAGATAATCTATTATATCTTTGGTTCTTGTTCTTGAGCTTTTAGTGTCATAGCTAAGAATTTATTGCCAGAAATATGGCTCTGAAATTTTGCCATTTCTTCTAAGAGTTTTAGTTTCTGTATTTAAATCATTGATCCATTTTGAATTAATTTTTGTATATGGTTGTTGTTATTGTTGTTGGGTGCTGTTGAATCGGTTCCCACTCATAGTGACCCTATGCACAACAGAACAAAACATTGCATGGTCCTGTGCCAGCCTCAAAACTATTGTTCTTCAGCCAATTTGCTGCTGCCAATCCATGTCATTAAGGAGCTCTGGTAGCGTAGTGGTTACGAATTGGGCTGCGAACCTTAAGGTCAGCGGTTGGAAACTACCAGCCGCTCCGCAGGAGAAAGATGAGGCTTTCTCCTCCCGTAAAGATTTACACCCTCAGAAACCCTGTACAGGGTCGCTATGGGTCGGAACCAACTCGACAGCACTTAACAACAACAACAACAATCCATCTCATTGGGGGTCTTCTTCTTTTAAACTGGTCCTTCACTTTACCAAGCATGGCCTTTATCAGAGACTGGTACCTACTAATAAAATGTCCCAAATATGAGAAGAGAAGACTTGCCATCCTGGCTTCTAAGGAGTATTCTGGATGTACTTCTTCCAACACAGATTTGTTTGTTTTTCTGGCAGTCCATGGTGCTTTTAATAGTCTCCTCCAACACTATAACTCAAATGCATCAATTCTTCTACAGTTTTTCTTATTGTCCAACTTTCACATGCATATGAAGCTAATGAAAATACCATGACTTGGCTCAGGCGTACCTTAGTCCTCAAACTGATATCTTTGCTCTTGAACACTTTAAAGAGGTCTCACACAGCAGATTTGCCTAATGCAATATGTCTTTTGCTTTCTCTTCCAATCACTTTTTTTTTTTAAGGTTTTTATTGTGGATTGAGTGAAAGTTTACAGGGCATATCATCAGTTTTCCATTCAACAAATCATACACCTTGTTTCATTGCAATGATTACAATCTCCTCCATGTATTTCTCTCTCTCTCTCTTTTTTTTTTATACGCTCAGGCATATTTACACCATCAAAGGGCACATGATGCAAGTCTGCCTCCTGGCCGCCATCTCTTAGTCCCTCTCTTCCACGAATCTAGAGTCTTCAGGTGCTCCCTCTCTTCCCTGTCCCTTTCTCTGCCTCCATTTCTGGTGCCGTTGCTTCTCTGAATAAGGTCCTGCATCTGCTTGTGCTCTTCTCCCTTGATGGTACTAGGGTCCCATGTTTCTGGACTGTAAGTTTAACTACTCCCCCATTTTTGTTACAAAACTTCTACCTTTATAGTTGTGACAGTCACAATTAGTCATGATAGCAGTTACTACTGAATCATAGAATCTTATCCTCATCCCTTTTTACCAGACCCATCTAGATAAGATGAAAACTATTCAGTGGGGACTCTTTCTTCCCCTACACACTGTTAAACTAAACTCCCCCTTGAAACCTTGTAAGCCAGTCACTTCATGCCTTTATCGCCCCCTCATTTTTAGGTAGCCAGTGTCTAAGTTGCCTCCACTTATCTACCCTGTGTGTAGAGGTGATAGCATTGATACTTGATGTGAAGACTCCTTCCCTCTCTTTTGGAATTTAGAGTTACTACCTCCATTAGTGTAGGTCAAGTTAATCAAATTGTAGCAATTTACCCTCGTTTCCTTTATCAAAAAAAATTTCTTTCTTTCTTTTTTTATCTTCCTCTAGTTGAGTTCTGATTATCAAGTCATTGAGGCTAGGTCAGATGGGTACTATCTGCAAGTTTAAGTGTTCTTGTACAACTCCTCTCACTTCATATTGGCTGGATGCCTCGCTCTCAGCTGTAGCCCTCTGTGGGTGTGTCCTTGTCCATAGGCACAGGCATTCCAAGATCTCATCACACTTTGGACCAACCAGCCCTTCCTCTTTTCTCTCTCATCTCCATATCAACGGGAGCCTGTGGAACGTGTTTGAACTCAGCCAATTTTCTTCATTGCTGCCTTTCCCCCTCTTCCACTCACCAGTAAATCAGCGTGGTTGTCAGCAAGCTTACATGCCTGGTAATGTGTTCCCTTTGAGTTTCAGTCTAAGAGGGGAGTTTGTCTTGAAGGAACTTGATTCCCTGCCTTGATGGCTTCCCAGCGTACAACTTGCTTATTCTTGTAGTAGTCAGTCATGCTGCCATTTTTGTTTTGGGTTTTTCCTGTACATCATCTTTTCTTAATGTGGCATTTTCTTTTTAAGTCAAATCAGCCAACTGAAAGCATTTTATAGCAGTAGAATATTCCCTTTTCTTCACATGAAAAAAGTAAAAATGTTCTAATACCTTTCTTCGAGTCCAACACTGAGAGAGAAATGTAAAGATAAGCAAACCTTTTAACCATAAGTAGTCTGTTTTGAATGGTCCACTCTTTGCAGAATTATTAACCAGGATTATTAATATTCTTTAGTCCAGGAATTCATGCCTCAAAACAAGAAACAAAGTAGGAGTTACTACTTGTTGCTATCTAAAACTTTTATTAGCAGATTATATCATTGACAAGACAGAGAAATTACTGGACACCAATTTGTTATGTCCAAAAAACCAAAAGTCTACTGAAATATTAAAGAAAAAACATAGTCCTTCACAGCATATATACATTATTATAATTTTTAGTTCCTTTGATATTAAAAGATGTATAGTAGTTTTTAAAAACTGAAATAAGATGACCTTTTTTGATCTCCTTGGGATTTTCATTTTTTTCATTTCTGGAGAAATGAGAGGTATAATTTTAATTGTCACATCACAGTAAATGAGGTTTTTGGTGGCAGGCCTCCCAAATCTTTAAAATGAATTTGAATTATGACTACCATTACCATCTTTCTACTGTTTTAGAGAATAATAAATTTGATAATCCCTAAACTTAATTGGAGTGAATCCTTTATGAAATGTGTTCTTGAAAGCTGATGGATGAAGTATTGTCTATGCCCTCTCCAGAGTACTCTTATGGTTTAACATGCCCTCTCCCTTTTTCCTTTGGGATGTCATGAGAAGTAAATTGTCAATATTCAGGAAAATTGAAACATTAGATGAATAATTCAACTTAGTTTCAGTAAAAAGTCATCATTATTAAGAAAATTCAATATCTGATAACTTTTTTAAATGAACCATCCTCCGACCACTTAAAGAGAAGTGGCCACCAGAGGGAACGGAAATGAATTTCAGATTAAGCCCTTTTTCAATACTTACTCAAAAGATCCACATTTCCTCTATCATATATGTACTTCTATTTTGTCTAAGAATGCAGAGTAAATTAGAGAAAAGTAAAATGTAGACTCTGCTCCTAATAAGTCTTTGTGAGCAGAGGAACTTTCCTGGGGTTTATTGATTTGCAGCTATATGTTAAAGATAAAATATGTTTCGTTTATTCTGTTCCTGCTGCTGTCTTCCCAATTTTATCTTTTTGTTCATGGTACAATTCTAAAATTTAATAACAACAGCTGAAGTAACTTGTTAGTAAATGTTTTTCTTTCAGATACCTAGATTAAAACACTTGTCACAGAGCTAGAGAGTTTACCTTGGTCTTTGCTAAAGCCATTTTTCTACAGTAGCAGTTAAACATCCAGAGTTGTTTTCTTCACAGCAGTGGTGAAACTGTACCACAGGCTCTGGGTCTTATCAGACACCTGTCAGACTTTTAATGGAATTACTGAAAATGTAATAATTTTTCTTCTTTTACTTTATTTATTTTACAAAGAAAGCTTAAATGAAAAACAAAAATGTAATGTTAAATATCATCAAGAAATAATGATAATAGTGGGACTGGTATATATTTTTGCCTTGATACATGATTTGTTTGTTTTTCCCTTCAAAAACTTGACAAGGTATTACTGAACTTTTCCACATACTAATTTTACAGATGTGTTTGATAGACTTATGTGTGTGTCCCTCATAATTTTTATTTTCATTTTCTTTTAGTATCTTATATGGAATATTCATTTCTGCTTTTTAAAAAGAAATTATAAGAATATGAAGATATTATTACTTGTACTTTTTCTGTAAAAGGACACTTATTATATTCAATTTTTATTATAAGGTATTCTATGAGCATAGTTCTTCAAATTACTTTTATTTTTGGGAGGGCCCCCCAATATATATATTTTGTTGTTGTTGTTGTTGTTGCATCAAATTATTTTTAAATGAAAGTATCCTTGTATCTCTGCTTTTTAGGTCTTGTGATAATGGTCATTGTATATTGAACGGAACACATGGTACCTCTTCAGAAATGAAGAAATCAAACGTCCCTGAATTGGGCATATATTTAAAGGGTATGTATAGAATTTTTTCGTGTATGTTTTCTGCATCTTAATGGTCAGATTTTAAAGGCAAAAGTTCATCACATTGTTGTACTGAAAATACATTAAGGTTTTGTGTTATCCTCTAGGAGATGTTTTTGATTCAGCCTCTGATCCTGTGCCATTGCCACCTGCCAGGCATCCAACTCGAGACAACCCAAAGCATGGTTCTTCACTCAACAGGACGCCCTCTGATTATGATCTTCTCATCCCTCCATTAGGTTGAAATCTTAAAAAAAACTTGAAAAAAAAAAAAACAACCCTGCCTCTCAATTAAGAGCTGAATTATCAGAATTCATAGTTCATTGTAATGCAGACTCACTGGATTGTGAAATTGTCAGAAATTAATATGGGTTCTCCATGATGGTGGCCCTCTGGTTCATGTGGCCATTATCCCATTCAGATGCTTAAAACAATGGTATAAATAGTTAGTTATTAGTCAGAATTTTATGTAGTTGTCTCTTCATGTACTAAATACATTTTATAAAAACACATAAAAAGTACTGTTTATTCTTTAGTGTGCTGGTGCTCTAGTATTTTTCAAGTGATGATTTGAACCATTCATCTGAGATTATCTTTTAAGTATATTTTTTAATGAGTGTAAACTGACTTTTTCTCCTCCTATAAAAGGACGCAGTTCTATAGATGGTAATTAAATTTGGAAAAGTTATAATAATTGTACAAAACTGAGAGCAAATTCTGTCTTATCCTAATCTTTGCAACACATTGACAGCATCTCAGTTTTTTATTTCAAGTTGTAATATTAAGAGGTTCACTAACATGAGTCTCTGTGTGTACACATGTGAAGGCACACACGTATATGTGTACATATATTAAAGTTGGCTAATGCCCAGTGTCAGCATCATATTTAACAAATTCCAGGTAGGAAGCTTCTGACCCTATTTTTAGAAGAAAAACATTAGAAACATCACATCCCTTATAGCTTCACAGTAACAAGTCACCATGCAAAAGCATGATGTATGATGAAGTCCCATCTGAAAGCCGATCTGAATTGGTTATTGCATCATCAAAATATCAAATGAACTTTACTATTTTTTCCATGTTTGAGTTAATCCTTATATTATCTTTGCTTCAGTTCTTTTTATAGTCATATTAAAAAATTTCTTCCAAATAAATTATTGCAGGAGATTTCTAACTTTATTAATACTACTATGTTTCTCTCTGTTCTATATCCTATACACTGGTCTTAGTCTTCAGGATATATATCAGCACTGACCCATAAAATTTACTGTGGTGATGTAAAGAATCTATATATTCACATGTGCCTGTTGAGCAAGTAGGCTAATGCTAATATGAAAGTAAACTGTACTTATTTAAATTTTAAATAGCCATATGTGATTAGGGATTACAATGTTGGACAACACAAATAAATATTCTATACTATTTTTTTAATTTGACCTTCTTTGGCTCTTCTTGTGTATCTCATGCTTTGTTCATACTATGCATATTTCCTTGAAGATAGCACTTTATATTTAATGAATAAATGTTTCTAAATCCCCTGATGTTCCAGGCCCTCCTGTTCACCTGCTCTACACTTCACTGAATGATACTTTCTGTTTTCCTCTTCCATCATCCAATCCATATGTCTTTCTTATGGTACCAAACACTTATCTTTTTGAATCATACCTATATATGAACTCAAATTCTCTTCTGGAAGCTTCTTGGGATTTTCCTCTTTGTATCTCCTTTATGCTTAGTATAGTGCATGAAATTCAGGGAGTGAAGAAAGATTTGAAAGAATATGATCATATAGACAACAGTTGAAGATTGGAGTGATAGTAAAACTCTGTCTCCTATATCTTTAAATTTTTTAAATTAGAGATATAATTATCTTTCAACTAGAATATATTCAGAATATTATTTTGTCAAGGAAGCTTAATGAATGAAAAACTATTTTTCTTTAAATGTGTCTTATGTAAGGAACTCTGGTCATGCTTAGGATAAGCACTGGACTGCTAACCACAAAATCAGCAGTTAAAACCCCACAACTGCTCCACAGGCGAAAATGAGACTGTTCTATAAAAATTTAGTTCAGAAACTCTATCTACAGTCACTGTGAGTCGCAATGGAGTCAGTGGCAGTGGGTATGGTTTAGTCACTAAACTTACTTATGTGTGAATTGTTTTTATTGGAATATGTAGGTGTTTTGCATCATTAAAAATATATTTGATGCAGTTTACAGAAATACATACGCTGCCATTTTGTTTTTATTTTTTTAAAGACTGGTAAGGAAACCAAGGTAAGGGAAAATAGGAGTAGAAGACTAAGATGTGTCAGGGACTAAAAAGAAAATGCACATAAAAGCATACTGTAAAGTTCTAGTTATAAAACCTGACAAAACATGTAAATGTAAGAAAAACAAATGAAACCATACACCTATTTCATGTTTATCATTTCCCCTTTAGAGATATCAGAAATAAGAGTATACGTTCACTTCTCTAGGTATAGTTTTTATATCATTTGAAAATAGGGGAAATTAGTTTAAATAAAGTCTAGCAGAATGAAAATTAAGCTATCATTTGAAAATAGGGGAAATTAGTTTAAATAAAGTCCAGCAGAATGAAAATTAAGCTATAATTTAAAGTACACTGTGGCATAAATTTTGACAGTAAGTGTACAGTATGATTTTATAATGAAAGGTTATGAACTCTTTCGTTACATTTTGTTTTGATGATACAACCATTCATGCATTTTAGTTCAAACTTCCTGTGTCGTAATAAAATAAACTCAAGGTCTGCATTTCAAACCCCTACGTGGTTGTAAGAGAATGATAAGGCTTTCTGCTCCCATTAAGATTTGCAGCCTCAGAAGCACTGTACATACGTCATTGCTATGCATCATAATTAAATCAGTAGCACTTAACACCAGCAGTCTTATAAAGGTTACAAGTGAATTATAAGTTGTTTCCTTCATAACCTGCAAAACTGCTTTTTAACAGAAAGAGAGGGGAAAAAGTATGTATGTGTGTATGTGATCAAGCACCCCACACAATAATTAGATACCATTATCAAAATCATTGAACTGCTGCATAAATCCTGCCAATAAAGTTCTTTTCAAGCAGCTAGAGATAATCAATTATTACTTTTATTGATACTGTGTTTTGATTAGTGAAGTTCTACCTTTGATAATGGTGTTTCTTTAAATGCAGGTGAAGATGTTTTTGATGCCCACCCTCCATCTCTCCCACCTCCCCCACCTCCTGCAAGGCATAGTCTCATTGAACATTCAAAACCTTCTGGCTCCAGTAGCCGACCATCCTCAGGACAGGACCTTTTCCTTCTTCCTTCAGGTACGAGTGAAAAGTCAAAGAAAATCTTTCACTTAAAGCAAAAACAATCTCAGAACTTCTACTGCAAAATAAACATTAATAATCCATTCACATGTAGCTCGCTAGCAGAAAAATCCATGGGTGGTGAGAGTGGCAGTGGGGCATGTCTTGGTCGGTTGAATGCTAAAAGGATTACAAAGACAGAGCTGTTGGAATCGTACAGTAGAAATACTAATGTAGAGATTATCATGCCCAGCTGGCACTCTCACCTTACAAAAGACAGTCCTGGAAAACAGAGAGCTAAATAGGTAGACTAATAGTGAAGGAAACAACATTTAAACTGTCTCTCAATTCCCGATATATACGTTTCTCTAATCGTAATTGTGTAAAGTCTTACTCAGTGTCTTTTAAGACCCTTGTATTGTTCAGAAACATAAGCTTTTGATAAATTATGTTGAGATAATACAAAGAAAACCCAGATTTTTTTCTGCAGTACCTGTATTTTACTTTTCCTGTTATTGTTTTCGTAGTGTTTAAATGGATCCACTCACCAATAGCGATCTTCAAGGAAACATACTTAGCTTTAAAAAAAATTTTTTTTTGAAGTGAGTAGTAGAAATAAAATGAAAAGACTAGATAAACCTTCTAGTCCATTCATCAGAATTATGAAGAAATGAAATAAAATCAGTTGTGTTGAATCTGCTGGTTTTAAATATTCAAATCTGTCCTGTAAGAAGCTCTAATGACACAGTAGTTAAAACTCTTAGCTGTGAACAAAAAGGTGAACAGTTCTAACCCACTACCTACTCTGCATGAGTGAAATATGCAGAGTTTGGTGCAGTAAAGGTTTATAGCCTTGGAAAGTCTCTGGGGTGGTTCTACTCTGTCCTGTGAGTTAGAACTGATTTGACAGCACTAGGTTTGGGTTTTTGTTTGTTTGTTTAATCTATCCTGTTAATGATAATGTGATCTGTCCTCTAAACTGTTTGCCTCCATGATTTGACTTGATTAAATATAAGGTAAGCATTTTCTTTTTAATAATTTCCTTATATTTTGGTCTGAGATAAGCCTTTAAAAAGATTTGTGTTGCCTTTGATCAGGTATATGCCTCATTGAAATTTGGGAAACAATCATTATCATTTCCCAAAGAAATTATCATTCGCCTTTGTTGGTGGTGATGGCAGTTGCCAATGAATTAATTCTAACTCACATTGATGGCATGTGTGTAGAGTAGAGTAGAACTGATAGTTTCAAGACTATCATCTTCAGGCTGATTTCTCAAGCACCTCAGGGTGCCAACATTTCAGTTACTAGTTGAGTGCATAACTATTTGTATCACCCACGTTGGTAATTTAGAGAGTTTGAGAAAAAGTGAGGATAAGACACACAAGTGTTAAGACACACATAATAAGTTCACATATAAAATACACACATATAAGTTCACGTTTATAATAATGTTTCTAAAATATTATATTCCAGTGCAGTATGTGGCCCATCTACTCTGGGCAGGCTGACTATATGTTAACAAAATATGAATAGGCCTCAAAAAAGCTTTTGTACTACTATTTTGTCTCCAAACCCAAGGTTACATCTAGCATATAGGAGCTTTCTCTGAATTACAAAAAAAATGCTTCATTGATAAAGGCACCCCTCTTTCCACTCTACTAGGTTTGTTGGCTTAGTGATCAAAGCAAAGGCTGAAGTATAACCCCATTTCTGCTCATAACTATGTGCCCTTGTGCAGTGTACAAATTACACAAGTATTTGGCAGCCAACTCCACCTTCCTTTCACTGTTTCTCTAGCCTGGAATCTCTTCACTGCTTTTTTCTGAAATTCAATCTACATTTTTAAATCTTGAAATCACAGTTCAACTCTGAGGGCTAGTGCAATGGTCTTTAGTAGGAATAAACTAAAGCTTTTCTTTTGGATCTAGTAATACAATTACATAAGTAAAATCTAGAGAAAATGTGGATCATTAGCAAAAGCTGTTGAAAAGGATTTAGGGAGTCGTGTTGACTAGGACCTTTGTGAAGCACTATGGTGGTGTGGCCGCCTAGGGAGCTAATATCTCTGGGTGGTTGTACTTCCAGAATTTTTAAAATAATGAGTAAGGTCACGCAGTAGTCAACCATGTGGGGACCACTGCATTTAGGTCTTGACGGATTGAAGGATTACTAGAGTGATCCTCAAAGTTTGGTTTGAAAACCACCAACATCAGTATCACCTGGGGGATTTGTTATAAATACAGATTCTTGGGATCCACTCAGGACTTACTAAATCAGAAACTCTGGGACTGTGACCCAGTGATCTGTATTTGATCAAGTCTTCCTTCTGATGCATACTCAAGTTTGAAAATATTAGGTCAAGTTATTTCTAGAGGAGTGCAACAAGGATGAAAAAAAGGGGATTCAGACCACATCAAGTAGATTAGATAATTAAAGGAAGAGAAGATCGTAGATATAGGAGTATATTAGAGTTGTCTTCACGTACAGTATCTGTGAAAGAATGATTAGATTTATTCCATGTGTCTCTCCAAAAAAGTAGAAGACCAGTAGGAAGTATTTAAAATGCAAATTTCACTCATCTTAAGAAAAAGCTTCCTAAATTATTAAGAATTTTTCATAAGTAGAGTAAGCCATCTCTGAGGGATAGGGAGTTTTCTACCACTGGAAGATTTTAACTGCCTACTGAGGGTTTTATGAAGGAGAATTAAAAAGAGAGCAGCAAAGAGGGAGAAACTTTTTTTACCTAAATAGCTTTCCATAGTCTTTGCAGCAATTAGACTCATCACTGATATTCTGTAAAAGTTTTGGCAATAACTAATAAATCCTCCAGATGCTTTTTAATACCCCTAGCAAGGGAATATGTCCCTGTTTCAGCAATTCAGTTTTATATGCCTCCTTTCCTACGCTTGCATAAACATTTGGGATTGATTCAGATAGTGTGAAGAAAAAAAATTTAAGAAAAATGCCATGCTCCCTCTTCCTAGAAATAACGGTTACTATGTTTCCTTCTACATTTTTGTATATGTACATATGTTCATATTTATATAGATTTGTTTTCACAGTCTATGCTATTTACAGTCTTTTTGTAATCAATGTATTATGAACTTTTTAAATTCTTTTAAATACTCTTGTAAAACATAATTTTGGTTGCTGTGTATGTTTCCACTTCTTTGTTTATTATTGGTGCTAGGAACCCTCACATCAATTCTGACTCACAGAGTCAGAATGAAACACTGGCTAGTCCTGTGCCATCCTCACAATTGTTATATTTGAGCCCATTGTTGTTGCCATTACGTCAACCCACCTAGTTGGGGGTCTTCCTCTTTTTTACTGACCCGCCACTTTACCATGCATGATGTCCTTTTCCAGGGACACTTCTGTCCTGAGGCTATGTCCAGAGTAAACTTCTAAGGAATGTTCTGTCTTTACTTTTTCCTGAGGACAGATTTGTTCGTTTTTCTGGCAGTCCATGGTACTTTCAACATTCTTCAGCAGCACCATAATTCCAAATACATTTTTTTTTTTCTGGTTTCCGTATTCATTATCATCTTTCAGATGCATTTGAAGCCGTTTCTGTATTCATTATCATCTTTCAGATGCATTTGAAGCTGTTGAAAATACCAAGACTTGAGCAGGAACCACCTTAGTTCTCAAACTGACTTCTTTGCTCTTTGTTTTATAGTTGTTGTTGTTGTTGTTGTTGTTAAGTGCCGTCGAGTCGGTTATAGTTAGCTAATCATATATCCTTAAGGAGCTCTTGTAGCATAGTGGTTACAAATTGGGCTGCGTGCCTCAGGGTCAGCAGTTCGAAACTACTAGCTGTTCTGTGGGAGAAAGATGAGGCTTTCTGCTCCTATAAAGATTTACAGCCTCAGAATCCCTGTGCAGGGTTGCTATGAGTCGGAACCGACTCCACGGCACATAACAAGTCTTTCCTAGTGGGCTTTTTTTTTTTTTTTAGCAAGTACTAAAGTAAGTGTAATGCTTGCTGTAGGATAAGCTCTGGCTGCTAACCATAAGGTCGGTGGTTCAAATCCACCAGCTACTCTTCAGAAACTCTGTGCAGGGTCACTGTGAGTCAGAAGTGAATCCATGGCACTAAACAACAACAAAGTAAGTATTAAACTGCCAATTTTGTGTTTACTGTACTGTAAAACATAGGCAATGATAATAAAAGACTATTTTTGCTGCCGCTTCTTGTTGCCCTGGGCCATCAAGTTAGCCCTGACTCATAGCCACCCTATAGATGGTTTCTAAGTGTGTGTTTGAACTGCCACCTTTGCAGTTACCAGGCCAGTGCTTATCCTATAGCACCATACCAGGGCTCATGTTTGTTTTTTAGAGGAGATTAATTACATTGTGTTTATTCATCCATTTCTCAAGCATTTTCATTTTGCATGTTTTAATCGTAAATATGGATATAAAAATTTAAATAGTTTTTGAAGAGTTTATTCTTAAACAAGTATTGATTTTCAAAAGTTTCCCCTTAAGGGACAGTTGAAAATTATACTTGGGCTGCTAACCTCAAGGTCATCAGTTTAAAACTATCAGCAATTCTGTGGGAGAAAGATGAGGTTTTCTGCTTCCATAAAGATTTAAAACCTTGGAAACCTTAACAGGAACCAACTCTTCGGCACATCACCACCACCACTCTATAATCATTGTGCTGTATATAATATCTTTTTCCTTTAAAATCGGAATGTATAGTTATGCACAATTTTATAACCTGCTAGAAGCTTACCTACCCTATGCCTGACCAGTAGCAAATTTAGTGAGATAGTGTGTGGCAAGAACTAAATCACAAATCATTATTTTTGCTACTTATGACAACATTTGTAGTATATCTTTTGACTTTTAAGTAGAATAGGTTAATGGAGCATTATAATACTACTCAAAAATACTCCATAGTAACCTCAAACAGGGTTACTGAGTTGGAACTTACTTAGCAGCACATAACAACAACATATCATTTTCTAGTGTGCCTATGGAATAGATCTAAAAGTTATTTTTAAACCCTGAATGAATAAATAATTGAAAATAGCATGAGCATATCTAACCTACAAATTAGCACTGAAGAAAATCTAAAAGTTATACACTGTTAACGACAATCTTTTATCTGACCTACTGGTGTGGTAATGTGGAGTCCTGGTGTGGCACTACTAAACTGCTAACTACAAGGTCAGTCTGTAAAAATTACCAGCCACTTCTCAGAAACTCTGTACAGGCTGCTGTGAGTCAGAACTGACTTGATGGCACTTAACAATAACAATGTTATTTTGATAATATTTTAGAGCACACAATAACTAAATATATAATTATTTATTGAATATTGAAATTCATTCTTGGGGAAATTTATAAACATATTAAAAAATCACCAGATTTAGTTTCATTGGTCCCTCTTCCAAAACCAGGTTAACATTTGTATCATGTCCTTCTCAGCTCTAACTCCTGAATTTTTCAGCAAAATTGATGAGTCTTAGCCATTGACTTTTCAAATATTAATGACTCAAATTTTCAGAGTTATTTTAATCTTGAAATAAATGAAAACAATCTAAGTAACCTTGTTTAGATTAGAAAGTTCCCATCAAAGCTGACAATTCATATACTCTGAAAAGGGGTGGTGGTGGTTGTGTGTCATGGAGTTAGTTCTGACTCATAGTGGTTCCCAAGGCTCTCAGTCTTTACAGGAACAGAGAGGCACATCTTTCTCCCACGGAGTAGCTGGTAGATTCGAACTGCTTACCTTGAGGTTTGCTGCCCAACTCACAACCCCCTACACTACCAGGGCTCTTAAAAAAGGTGGGTAGGGGAAAATAGTGACTGTCTCTAGCTTCTGCCTTATTTATCTAGTCAAAAATAGCATAAGAAGTAGGCATTGTTTTTAGTGTTAGTAGTTGTTGTTAAGTGCTGTTAAGTATTAGGTTCCAACTCATAGTGACCCTTTATAGGGTGTCCAGTGAGTAACTGGTGGGTTTGAACTGCTAACTGCAAGGTTACTTTACATGCAACACCAGAGCTCTTTAATAGTAAAAAGTAAATATTTGTTTAGTCAGACTCTCTTCCACCCAATATGCTAAGTCCTGTGTATGTATTAAAATATATCATATAAACATTCTGAAATAGATAAGGTTCCTGCTATCAGAAATTCATAGGACCTTTGTAAATGCTGGCAGATATAAAAAGAAAGTAACATGAGAGAGTAAAACAGAGAAGGTTGAGGTCAAATTGGTAACCAAAATTGTTAGAGAAAAAAGCAGAGTGTTGTAGTGGTTATGAATCAGGCTACGAACCTCAGGGTCAGCAGTTAGAAACTACCAGCTGTTCCACGGGAGACAGATGAGGCTTTCTGCTCCCGTAAAGATTTACAGCCTTGGAAACCCTGTGCAAGGTCACTATGAATCAGCACCAACTCCACGGCATATAACAACAACAACTCAAAACAAAAATCAATTCTAAGGATTTAAATATACATGCTGCTTGAAGTCCTCATGTGGTGCTGTAGGATAAGCACTAGACTGTTAAACCATAAGGTCAGCTGTTCAGATCCACCAGCTGCTCCTTTGAAACACCATATAGGGTCACTATGAGTTGAAAATGACTTGATGACACTTAACAACAACATAAAAGAATTAGATTTAAGGTTAACGATTTTTAATGTATCAACTCTGACAAAATTTCTCTTTTTCCCATTAACCCACTGTCATAGAGTCACTTTCAACTCTTAGTAACCCTACATGGTGTTTCTGGGACTCAATCTTCACAGAAGCAGAAAGCCTCATCTTTTTCCTTTGGAGCAGCTGGTGGAATTGAACCTCCAATATTGCAGTTAGCAGCCCAACACCTAACCCACAGGGGCTACCTGGACACCTTTTATCTCCCATTAGTTCTTGTGAATGCCTATCATTGTTGTTGTGTGCCGTTGAGTTAATTGTGGCTCATAGTGGCCCTATATTATGTCCCGTAAGTTTTCCTAGGCTGTAACTTTTACTGGGGAGTCCTGGTGTGGCGCTGTGGGTTAATGCACCAGACGGCAAAGTCATTTGAACTGCAAGGTTGGTGGTTCAGACTCACCAGCTGCTTCTTGGAAACCCTATACGAGGTCATTATGGGTCAGGTCCGACTCAACAGCACTTAACAACATAACAATTTTTACTGGAGCACATTACCAGGTCTTTTCTCCCGGAAGTTACTGGTGGATTCAAACAGCTGACCTTTCAGTTAGTAACGAAGTACTTAACCTTTACTCTACCAGGGTTCCGAATATCTATAATGGTTGTTGTTGATAATAAAATAATTTTTGTCTACAATTCAAAGTTTCACTTTCATATACTCTCTTACTGGCTATCAAAAAAACCCTATTTAACTATAAAAACCTTAAAATCAATAATAGAACAATTGCTAACAATTGAATGTACTGTTCAATACATCAAAGAGCAATAATGACTTTTCCTATAGAATGTCCGGTATCACACTTGCTTGTGTAGGAGATTTTATATGTATTAGTTCTCTTAATCATCACAAATATTGTGATGTCAGTTCTATTTTACAGGTAAGTCTGCCTTACCTGGGTGTTATGAATGGCTAAGCACTTGGCTACTAGCCAAATTGGTTGTTCGAAACCCATCAGAGGTACTTCAGAAGACAGCCCTAGTGATCTACTTCCCACCAGGTTACAACCTTGGAAGTCCTCTGGGGTGGACATCTGTCAGAATTCATTCAGTAGCAACTAAAAACAGTGCTTAGAGGGCTTAAGTTATTTAATAGTATTCTAATAGTTAAGGGCAAAATCCAAAACCCATTCTTTCACTTTTATTTTAAAGCAGTTTACATTCATTGTACAGGACAGATAGGGATAGCAAAAAAATTTTAGAAGCAGATTTTATTAACAATTATCTGACAGTTAAATAAGAGAAGTGAAAATTATAAATATAAACTATTGTATATAATTACAAATCAGTGAAAAAGCATGTTTTGAGCAAGTGTTATCTCCTTAGATTAGAAAATAATTAATATCAATTATGAACTTAATTTTCTGATTCATTTTAAAGCAGTGATCTTTATAGAAAATTCTTGATTTTTTTTTTAATCTTCTGCCAATCAAAAGTTATCATTCTTTTAATTTGAAAATAATCTTTATTTTTAAGACCCCTTTTTTGATCCAGCAAGTGGCCAAGTTCCTCTACCTCCTGCTAGGAGATTACCAGGTGAAAATGTCAAATCCAACAGAACATCGCAAGACTATGATCAGCTTCCTTCATGTTCAGGTGAGTTGGCTAATAACAGTAATAATACCACCTTATGTTTCCTTAGTGCCTTTTGCTTTTAAGAGTACCTTTTTATTCTCTATGTCATGTAATGATGATTGCCTGCCTAAGAAAGTATTTTTATCACCTTTGCATTTCACTTGTAAATCTTTTATTATGAGAGGAATGCCTACAAATTGCTTCATGAAATACTTAATTTCAAAAAGGGAAAAAAATCAGACTTCATGTATTATCTTGATTCGTCAGTACATTTTTTATTCAAAATCTGTTCATTTTCAAACTCTTGCCTTGTCAGTTACGTGCACTGAAATGCTGTGTTCTCACTCTTATTTTTCCATTAATGGAAGAAATCTCTGTAGAATTTGTATAAGTACCAGACTATTCCTTTTTATGGCTTACTTGGGGCTAGAGTGCATTGCTCCACTACCAACCATCAAGTAGAAGCATATACTATTATACTAAATATAAATCATTCTAATAACTACTTATAATAAAATACTACTCCTTTGCTTATTTGGCGAGGCTGTCTCAGGCACTGTATCTAAAATATCTTACCTCACTTTTGCTATCACTTTTTGCCTCCTTGCTGTTCTTTGTTTTTCTTTATAGCACCTGTCATTTCCTAAACTTTCATTATTCATTCATTATCACAACTCAAAAATTATCATTAATTACTTGCCTGTTTCCTCCATTAGAGTTTCATTACTCTGAAGACAGAGTCATTGTTTGATTCTAACCCTAGTTATTCCATGTCATGTGTCTTAGATAGGTGGGTGGATGGATTGTTGGAAAGGAATTAGGAAGGGAAAAAGGAAGAGTAGCTAATGTGTATTGGGCCAAACATTTTTTTAGTGATATGAACAATATTTTTGTCACAATTGTAAGCATCATAAAATTTTCTTGTATAGATTTTTGTCTTATTTTATAAATTTTGCCATTTGTTATTCTCAAATCTCAGTGCCTTAGTTTCTCTTGGTTCTGCTATAAGAGAATTACCACAAGTGTCTGGCTTTGTTGTTATCAAGTGCTTTCCAGTTGGGTCTGACTCATAGCGATCCAAGCAGAATGAAGTCTTTGACAACTTCAATCTTTTCTCCATTTATCATGTGTGATTTATTGGTCTAGAAGTGAGGGGTTTTGTTTTATTTATATTGAGGTGCAACTCATACTGAAGACTGTTGTCTTTGCTTTTCGTCAGTATTACTTCTAGTTATTGCACAGTTTCAGTGTGTATCCAGTGAAACCCTGTAGTTCCAAAAGAAAGGATAAAATGAAAGGAAAGTGTAAAAAGTCAAGAAGGAGAGCCATTATCTGAGAACTTTCATATCAGAAGGAAGCAAATCATTTAAGGTACCAGGATTAAAATTCAACTTGGAAAAAAGTACCGTGAATGATTTAAAATAATATATTCAGTACTTTCGACATTGGATTAAAAGAAAGTTATGCTCAAATTATAGGGAGTGGTGTGGCCAAACCACTCTATTTTCAGTTTCTTTGTAATACAGCACTATAGAGTCAGCAGTGGACTGTAAACTACAAGGTTGGCTGTTGAAACCCACCAGCTGTTCCACAGAAACCCTATACAGGGTCACTATGAGTCGGAACTGACTCCAGCACACTTAAGAACAACAACAAAAGCCTAAAGGAACACCTTTTACATATATGGTTTCAAGCTATATGAATTCGGAATAGTATTTTCCCTAGAAGTTTCAAGGAAGAACTGTGAGTCATAAACCATGTTGAAATATCCCCAAACAGGCATTTACCAAAAGCCTGAACCAGCTTTTACCTAAATGATAAAACAGTCCTGATTATGACTCTAAGGGCCTTGGCTAGTTGTAACACCAAGTAATCTGGCTACTCCCTGAATTCTAGAAAAACACAGTCATAGAAAATAAGATACTTTTTCTGAAGCAGAATGTTTGTTCACATGCAGCTCAATGGGCTCCAGTTTGTAGTTTATTTCTGAGGGAAACTGCCTTCTAGACAAATTTTAGAAGCAGGTTTTATTAACAATTATCTGACCCCTAAGTAAACCTTGAGACAGAATGCTTATGTGCCTTCAAGTTTCTAATAGCCCTTTTTTATAGTAACTAATGCATTTTAGCATAGTGGTTACAAATCGGGCTGCAAACCTCATGGTCAGCAGTTAGAAACTACCAGCTGTTCCATGGAAGAAAGATGAGGCTTTCTACTCCCATAAAGATTTACAGCTTTGGAAACCCTGTACAGAGTCACTATGAGTCAGCACCGACCACAGCACATAACAACAAAAGCAATGCATTTTATGAGACATTGGTAGTTCAGTGGTAGACTTGTTGTCTCCTGTGTAGTTTGATTCCCAGCCAGTGCTTCTCAAGCATTGCTACCACACATCTATCAGTGGTGACTACATGTTTGTATAATGCTATATAGATCTCATGAAGCTTCCAGATGAAAGTGGACTAGGAAGGAAGGTCTGGCAAAATACTTCAGGAAATGACCAGTTGAAAATCCTGTGGATCAGAATAGTCAAGAATGGTATTTTCTGCAACCCAAAATGAGGATCCAATCTGTATATATGTATAACAGAACAAATACTGCCTCTTCTGGCATCATACTCCCAATTGTTGCTTTGTTTAAGCCGATTGTTGCAGCCACTGTGTGAGTCCATCTCACTGAGAGTCTCCCACTTTTTCAGTAACCCTCCACTTTTCCAAGTATGATGTTACTTCTCCAAGGAAAGTACATCATTCCTGTCAATATGTCACAGTGAGAGAAATGAAGTCTCACCATCCTCGCTTTAAAGGTGCATTTGGACTCTACTTCTTCCAAAATGAATTTGTTCATTCTTGTGACAGCCCATGACATAGTTAATAGTTTTCAACCAACATGATAACTCAATGCAACAGTTCTTTTGTGGGCTTCTTTATTCTTTGTCCAGCTTTTGCATACACATGAAGTGATTGCAAGTACTATGCTCGGTTCAGGCAACCTTAATCTTCCACAGAGCATCTTTGCTGCTTTGGAACACTTTAAAGTAGCCTTTTGTGACAGGTTTGCCCAATGCAATGTATCGTTTGATTTATTGACTGCTGCTTCCATGGTCATTGATTGCAGATCCAAGTAAAATGAAATTTCTGACAAGCTCTAATAATATTTTCTGCATTTATCATAATTTTGCTTATGAATATTTCTTAATAGTAGTTAAATAATGATGTTGTTGTTGTTAGATGCCATTGAGTCAGTACTGACTCATAGCGATCCTAAACACAATAGAACGAAACACTGCCCGGTCCTGGACCAA